ATACAAATTTGTTGAGAGCCTGATATTTTCTCCAAAAAAACATAATGTAACTAAAGAGCGTTGATTTTATTCTCATGAAGAGACAGCATTCCTTGTAGACTTTGCAATAGAGAGAGAAAGTAAGTGAGTGAGTATAGTTTATTTGTGGAAAGCCAAGTTTAAAAATGTACTCAAATTTCTTCTACAAACCTTTTGTTGCAACATTGAAATTCATATCCTTAAACTGCATGATGGTAAAACCCATATGGGGAAAACCATGTTTATTTGTGCAAATGGAAGCGATGATGCAGATAAAAATCCAAGGGGTGTTGATGTCAAAAATATTTAAATTTACACATAAAAAAATATCCAGTTCCACTGAGTAAGTTTGTTCGGACCCTGTTTCCTCAATAAACAACTGTTGACAAAGGATGCAGCCAGGAAATCGTCAGATTAAGGTCTTAAAAATAGCAAAAACAACCCAAATTCTGATGTCAGAATGTAGAAAACCTCCTGGAATACCGGTATAGTTACTGGAGCGCCTGGATATATATATGTAGCTGGAGCATTTAAAAACGTCTCGAAACAAGCTCTACTCAATATAATTGATCACCTCGATAGGGCACATCATGCTCTTCCGGCTTGGATAAGCAGCATGTCAGCTAATAGAAGGAACTCGGCGCAATGTGGCTTAGATTAGGTAACGCTAATCGCGCATAGAGGCATCCCACAGAGAGGGTTGTTATCACCACTTCTATGGACGGTTGTATGTAGTTAATAAACTAGCGACGAATCAAGAAGGAGGGGTAGCCTTACTAACATCTTATGCAGATGACATTTCAGTTATCATAAGTGGCAAATGGCCAAAAATTTAAGCTCATTGAACACCCAGACGCTGAAAGCTATTGCTGATAGGCCTACACAAGTGGGACTGAGCGTCAACACAGGGAAGACTGGTTTAGTATTAATCGCTACAAATACAAGAACCCAGCTTTGAATAAACCTAAATTGGGGGAGACACAAGGGTGGAAGGCAATGAAAGATTTGAGGAGCTAGCCAAAGAGGGCGTTTCCTTATACACCTCACTAGTAATGGATATACAAATTCCTGCTCAGGATATCCAACGATTTCAAGATCTGCATAAGTATCAACAGACGGATCGGTTTCGGAACGGAACTAATGGTTAAAATCTTTCAAAGATTATGTATGGTTCATATGGTTAGAAACCAACCGATTTTCTACTATGAACAAGAAGATAAGACTCTATACTTCTGCTAAGAATGCAAAAAAGCAGTGTTGGCTAGCAGAAAATGCGCTTAAACTAGGTCTAATAGAAGACAAAAAGTAAAGGAATTGTAACTATTTTGGTGAATCTGTGGAACATATAATTTGCGAGTGTCCGGCAGTCAGCGGAGGTGTAGCTGTAAGGGTGCAGCCATTAATCGACAAATGACCAAAGTGTCTACTAAAATTCGCTAAAAGAACGGCAGTGTTCCTCAGCATTGGGTTAATGCACTTATTCATTGGTCGTAAACCTATCTGGACATCGAAGTAGAAAATGTGCTCTACTTTTATATGAGTCATCCCGACTGCAGCCCCCGACATAGATCGACACAAAAAGGGCTCAATAGACTCCAACTTATTATCGTTGCGGCAGCTTCTACAGCAAAACCTCGCTAGGCAAAGATGGAGCATATATGCATTAGCACAGTGCACTGTGTTGACGCCGGTAAGCATTCCTCACTTCAGATCGGTTGAGCTTCCGAAGGTCCTTTATCTTTTTTGCTATTTAACAGCGGCCACAATGACTCTCTCTCTCTCTCTTTTGGCGGCTAGAGTGTATATCTTTATTTTTCTAATATAGTCACTATTTGGGGGCTATATATAATTGTCTACCTCGTTTATTGGTATCTCAGAGCCATACCTGACCATTTTATTAGCTAAGAATGAGGTGAGTTCTGGATTTTGCTACTTTGGATCCTATTGCTTTCAAAATCGTTTGGCTATCGACGAACATAGTTACTTTTAGGCTGAAATCTGTATCTATCTATTAGAAGCATTGCTGCCTCTTCTTGAAATCATAAACTTCAGTTTGGTGAACTCTGCAATCGTTTGGATAAAATTACTCATCTGCTGATTCTACAAATACAGATCGTCGCCAGTTTCTTGCTTTACCTTTGAATCATCAGGGTATATGCATACCTAACTTCTGCCACTGCCGATCGGAAATCGTAAAGGTATCCTTGAATTGATGTAACAAACCGATATTATGTAGTCTGTCCTGGTCAGTTTGATACTTTAAATCTTGAAAATTTTTTCAACTCGGTGTCGCCGCATCACTGAAGCTTATTGGTTTTCAGATGTTGACATGCAAATGCCCCAATGTGCAGCGGTTGCTGGCCATATGAAGTCCTTCCAGAAGTGCGCTACTCATCGCAGTTTTGCAACAGAATGTGGCCTCATGTGTTTGACGACTCTGATGTTTATTTATGGCACAGGTAACCTACGCTGGTAGTCTCAACTATTTTTTCAGAAGCCCTTTTGTCGGTGAAGTAAGCCGCTAAACTCTTTTCAACTATATCCTCCAAATTCGATTCCAAATTTAGTTTTCAGTGCAGTATGCTACCTAGGAATTTCAATTCGGAGGACAGATTTAATGAAGCTCCCTTCATTCTTGCATGGGATAAGATTTACAATGAAAATGAAATCAAAAGATTGTATCAATAAGCTCCGGTGTGACACCGACTTTTAAACTATTTATAGTGGAGCTGAGGTCTCTTTTCTTACTGTGAAGCAACACTTTAGGGCTTTATAAACTGCATATGAACCATTTAACCGCTTTTCTTGAGAGCTAATTATTTCAAAGTGCCTTTAAAAACTTCCTTTCTATAAGTCTATGTAAAGCAATTATTTGCTTTCAACAAAGCATTTCTTTTAAACTCACTCATCAAAAAATCCATACAAATTGGATTTTCCAAGCGGAAATTTTCAACCATGAAAATTAATATTTAATTTCCTTCGACCGCTACTAAAGAAGACTCAAAGAGAAAGAGACAGCGCAAAATTTTTCTCGCAAAAAATCTCAACGCATTCTCACACATCCTTTTCGCAACTCTGCATATTTGTATGCCTCTCTGCGCTCAATTTCGAACGCTCTCCCATAAATCTTGCCAAACAGCGCCATTTGCAACCAAAGCGGCTAAAAAATCTTCGATTGCCAAGAAATTCCTCGTCGCTAGAAAAGGTTCGGGATTAGCGAGCGAAAGGACAACACTTCGTGAGCGTGTAGAGTTGTGCTCGTGTGTCGGCAGCTGATTTACGGCCAAAATTTATTTGATTCCATTTCCTTTCATCTTCATCAAACACACGTTTTCAACTTCTTTTGCATTTTCTTCTTTTCCCGACTGCTTTGCCTGCGTGCCAATGCCTACTGCTGGCTAAGAAAAAAAAAAAAAAACAGAAACAAGCGGAAAAAGACAAACAACAAAAAAAACACCACTTGCCCAAATGCCAAGTTTACGTACTTAGAAGGATTTTTTGTTTGTTTCTTTTGCACTAAAAGGGCGGTGGAAAAGCGAATTCGGTTACAACGAGTTTAATAAACTACGCGAAAGAAAGAAGCAAGCGGGGCGTGCAGGCGCGACCTACAAGCGGAGTGAGTGTGTATTTATGTATGTATGCGTGAATTTACATATGTGTGTACTTCTTGAAATGCAAAAGGATATTTGCATTTACAAAAGAATTAGCACAATTAGGCTGCTGGGGATTAAAGGTGAAACGTTGCGATGGTAAGGCATTTTTTGCTGCGATTTAAGGGAGGAGAAATTAGTGTTGAATTTGATTTAGAGTAAAAAGTTGTTAAAGTTCTGTTTAGGCTAAAAAACAAGGATAATAGCATGATGATAAAAATGCCTTGAATGTTTGCAAAGTGACTAGCGCTGAAGCCTTAGCCCGACTTCATCCTTTCATACAATCATACATACATACATACATATACATATCTAACAGAAGAACAAAAATTCCTTCAAACTTCATTACTTATTTTTCCTAAAGTCGACAGAATAACTCCCACTCGCTCATAAACCGCTATATATTTTCTTAAGAGTACTGGCAACGTGCAGCATATTAAAGTCAAAATGCAAATTCATCATTCGGAAACGGAAATACATAATGAATTGTGGGAAATATGCAACATTCTTGTTTCCTCAAAAGGCTTCAACACAGGAAAAACCTCACAAGTAGCGGGCAAATGTGAATATGCTTTTTAATTTGCTATTTCTGGTATGTAAATGAATAATAAACATAGGAAACAAGAAAAACCCACTTGGCATAAGTTGCAGCCGAAAGCCAAGAAGAGCAAAGAAACCTATGAAAGGAAGAAATCTAAAAATCTGAGTACTTCGGCGTTTAACGTAAGTGGGCAGAGAATTACAAATGGATTAAATATTCAAACATTTGAGAAGTAAAATAGCATTAGGAGAGTGAAATTGAGTAGAAGAGCTAAAGGGACTGAGAGCGCGCGACTTCAAACATTTGAGAGGAGTGAAAATTTGCGCGGAAAATAACTCAAGCAGAGTGAAAATTGTCGCGTCACCTGAGTGGGTTCCGAAATCGGAGCGAATGCGTTTACAAGTAAGAAAATAAATTATGCTATTAACTTGCGCCTAAGCCCTTACTGGAGAGATTTTGTTTTTCAACACGCCATTTAGTGAGACCCACACGCTAATTGGCATGTTGAGTTGAGCGCTTCTATAAGCGCGCTCAAGCGAGAAACTCAACTATGGCGCTCACGCGCTCTTCCAATCTCTGACTATACAAAAACGCGAATGCATGCGCGCTCTATACGCTCACTGTTATTTTCTACAAAAACTCGTTCTTTAGGGTGGTTGCGCGCCGCCTGCTTGTGGCAAGAACCGACGTACGACTATGTACTCTATTCCAACTCGTGTAAATGTACATTTTTTCGTTACAAGCCACGCCACCATCGTGTTGACTATTGACTGCTACTGCCACTGCTGTTTGTCGTCGTCATCGTCGCATTTGCCGCCGCTTGTGTGTTTGCCTTTGCCGTCGCTGCTGCTGCTGGTGCTGCTATTACCACTCCGATTGCTGCCACTCCACACAACCGACTCGAAAGCAAGTCGAATTGTGAATACGATAGCGCGCAAGTGAACGACGAGTAAAAATGTTGAGTTCGCCAACGGTTTGCAATCAGTTCGAGTTCGAGCGTCACACGAGACGGACGTGTAGGCTGTGCAAGATTTTACGCGAAAAACGGGTTTTCCAATTTTTCTTTTTTCCATACACCCAACCACCAAACAAACAAAAAACGCTTGAGTTAAAGCTGAAAGTGGAAAAAAAGAATAATGAAGTCTAGTGGTAGTGCAGCATGAAAAAGTCAATACTTACTGAAAATAAGCGACGCGCAACAAAAGCGTTTTCGTTTTCCGCCCAACAAATAAAAGGCGTTTAAGTCAATCAAAGCATAAATTTATTAGTGCTGTTTACGAAGGAAGCAAAGCTAACGAGAAAAAATAAAACTGGTGTAGTGAAAAAGTTGAACGACGACGACGACGACTACACCGAAGAAAACAACGACCACGAGTACGTTGACAAGTGATATGCTTTGCGTGCTATGCGTGAAAATTGTTGGGTGAAAATTTTCGTTAATGAAAAATTCATGTAGCATAATTCGAATGGTGGACAAAGTGTAAAGTGTGCTTCAGAGAAATTGTATAAATTAAAGCTTCGAAAAGAAAACAGTGAAAATCGATTTGCATAAAAATTATTTCAAATAAAAAAAAATAAAACATCGATCACCTCTTGTGTACACACTTACAATTAACAGCCATGAAAATATCTAAATGCATTTAAACAAAGGCGCTTATTTGACTGCAGCGCGTCGAAAACGCGTATCTATGCAAGCGTCGAAGTGTTTAATACACTAGAAAAAAAAACCCAAAAATATAAAAAAATAAAAATATTTTAAATAAAAATGTGTAAATTAAGCAGAATATCAATGCGAATCGCCGCTAACTGCAGCGCGTACACGTTCCTGCTATTAACACACATACTCGCCCAGGGCGTATGCGGCGTTTTCGCGCTCCATAGCAAGGGCGCCGATAGGCCAGATTCCTCATACGCGCTCTCATCGGAGTCGGCTTCAGCCAGCGCGGCCAGCATGATGGCCACTTCAATGGCAGGCGCTGCAGCTACGGCAGGCGCTGGAGTCCCCGCAGCCTCCTCCTCATCAGCCGTAGCCGGCGTGGCAGAAGGTACCATTGATGCTGCGGGTGCCTCCTCATCACAATTGCAGCCCACCACCACCAATCAATGTTCCTGGCAGTATAATGGCACTACATCGGTACGCTGCAACCTGCGCACCATCGAACGACATATAGCGCTCGATTTGCAAGGTGCTGACGGCACCAGCCAATTGGAGATCAAATGCAGCGAACTCTACCTCTTTGAATCGCAACTGCCACAGGCGGCTTTCGCGCGCCTACAAACGCTCGATGTGTTACGTATTGATGGCTGTAAATTGCTGCAATTGCCAAATAATGCTTTCGAAGGACTGAATGTGCTGCGTACGCTGGCGGTGAATACACGTAATCCCGACTGGGGACCTGGCAAAACGTTGGAATTGTATCCGGACTCGTTGAATAGCTTAAAGCAGCTGACCGAGCTGCAGTTGGGCGATAATAATTTGCGCGCACTACCCGCTGGATTCCTTTGTCCGGTGGGGAATCTGCAAGTGCTTAATTTGACGCACAATCGCATACGCTCTGCGGAGAATCTCGGTTTTGCTGACATGAATTGCAATAGTGGCAGCGAGCTGCAAGTGTTGGATGCAAGTTACAATGAATTGCGTTCCATCACCGAGAGTTGGGGCATTTCCCGACTGCGACGTCTGCAGCAATTGAATTTGCAACACAATAATATTTCCGAGTTATCTGGGGAGGCTTTAGCTGGATTGAGCTCACTGCGTATTGTTAATTTGAGCAATAATCATTTGGAAACACTGCCAGAGGGGCTCTTCGCCGGCTCGAAGGAGCTGCGTGAGATACATCTGCAAAATAATGAGCTATACGAACTGCCTAAGGGACTCTTTCACAGGCTTGAGCAATTGCTGGTCGTGGATCTGTCTGGAAACCAGCTGACCTCAAATCACATTGACAATACCACATTTGCGGGACTCATAAGGCTGATTGTGTTGAATTTGGCGCATAATGCGCTCACACGGATCGACTATCGCACCTTCAAGGAGCTGTACTTCTTGCAGATCCTGAATTTACGCAACAATTCCATCGGTCACATCGAAGATAATGCCTTCCTGCCGCTCTACAATTTACACACACTCAACTTGGCAGAGAATCGACTGCATACCTTGGATGATAAGCTCTTCAATGGCTTGTATGTGCTTTCGAAACTGACACTGAACAATAATCTCATCAGCGTTATTGAGCCGAATATATTTAAGAATTGCTCAGATCTCAAGGAGCTCGATTTGAGCTCTAATCAGCTCAACGAAGTGCCACGCGCTTTGCAAGACCTCTCCATGCTACGCACGCTGGACTTGGGCGAGAACCAAATACGCACCTTTGATAATCAGAGCTTCAAAAATCTGCATCAGCTAACGGGACTGCGGCTAATCGACAACCAAATCGGCAACATTACCGTTGGCATGTTCGCCGACTTGCCACGTCTCAGCGTACTCAACCTCGCCAAGAATCGCATACAGTCCATTGAGCGTGGCGCCTTCGATAAGAATTTCGAGCTGGAGGCCATACGCCTTGATCGCAACTTCCTGTCCGACATCAACGGCGTCTTCGCTACACTAGTTTCCCTGCTGTGGCTCAATCTTTCTGAGAATCATCTCGTGTGGTTCGACTATGCCTTCATACCGAGCAACCTCAAGTGGCTCGACATACACGGCAACTACATTGAAGCGCTGGGCAACTACTACAAGCTGCAGGAGGAGATTCGCGTAAAGACACTGGACGCCAGTCACAACCGCATCACCGAAATCGGTGCTATGTCCATACCAAACACTATCGAGCTGCTGTTCATCAACAACAACCTTATTAACACAGTGCACCCAAACTCATTTGTAGACAAAATCAATTTAGCGCGCGTCGACCTCTACGCCAACGCGATGTCCAAGCTGCAGCTGCAACAGCTGCGTGTCGCACCCGTGCAACCGGCTAAACCGCTTCCGGAATTTTACCTAGGCGGCAATCCGTTCGAGTGCGACTGCACCATGGATTGGCTGCAACGCATCAATAATCTGACCACACGTCAGCATCCGCGTGTCATGGATCTCACAAACATCGAATGCGTCATGCCACATGCACGCGGCGCACCTGTACGCCCACTGACCACGCTGAAACCGAAGGATTTCCTCTGCCGTTACGAATCGCACTGCTTTGCGCTGTGCCATTGCTGTGACTTTGATGCTTGCGATTGTGAAATGACTTGCCCGGGCAACTGCACATGCTACCATGACCAGATTTGGTCCACAAATGTGGTGGATTGCGGTGGTCAGCAGACCACCGAACTGCCACGCCGTGTGCCCATGGACTCGAGTGTTGTCTATTTGGACGGCAATAACTTCCCAGTGCTAAAGGACCACGCCTTCATTGGACGCAAGAATCTGCGCTCACTTTACGTGAATGGCAGCCAAGTGGCGCGCATACAGAATCGCACATTTGCGGGACTGATTTCGCTGCAGGTGCTACATCTGGAAGATAATTTGCTGCGCACGCTGCATGGCAACGAATTTGAATTTCTCATTGCGCTGCGAGAGCTCTACCTACAAAACAATCAGCTGACATCGCTTGACAACATCACGCTGGCACCACTTGTGTCGCTTGAAGTATTCCGCATCGATGGAAATCGCCTGGTGACGCTGTCTATGTGGCAGTTGCAGCAACCGCAATTTAAACAAATGCGCACATTGGCGCTAGGTCGCAACCAATGGAGCTGCCGCTGTAAATTCCTACAGGAGCTAACAGCCTACGTAGCAGACAATGCGTTGATAGTGCAGGACCTGCAGGACATCTACTGCATGGACGCGGGCGTCAGCGGCACGAGTGTGGTGCAGAAACGTGACTTAGATTTCAATGCAACTGCCGCCTGCACTGACTACTACGCTGGCGGTTCGATGCTGCAGCATGGCATACCAAAGACTTACATACCGCTGCTTGCTGCAGCACTGGCGCTCATTTTTTTGCTCGTCGTCATCATCATAATCTTTGTGTTTCGCGAATCATTACGCATTTGGCTGTTTGCGCACTACGGCGTGCGTGTGTTTGGTCCACGCTGCGAGGAATCGGAGAAGCTGTACGATGCCGTGCTACTGCACTCAGCGAAGGACAGCGAGTTTGTTGCACAGCACCTAGTGTCTGAATTGGAAACCGGCCGCCCACCACTACGCGTTTGCCTGCAACATCGCGATCTGGCGCACGATGCCACACACTACCAGCTGCTGGAGGCTTCACGCGTTTCGCGGCGCATAGTAATACTGCTATCACGTAACTTTCTACAGACTGAATGGTCGCGCTGCGAGCTACGGCGTGCCGTACACGATGCGCTGCGCGGGCGACCGCAAAAACTTGTCATCATCGAAGAGCCCGAGGTGCTGTTCGAGGCAGAGAGCGACATTGAGCTGCTGCCCTATCTAAAGACATCTGCAGTGCACCGCATACGCCGCACCGATCGACACTTCTGGGAGAAGCTGCGCTATGCGCTGCCCGTCGACTACCCTACCTATCGTGGCGGCGTCGCTGGCGTACCCGGCAACAATTACACGCTCGACCACAATCATGAGCGCATCAAGCAACCCGCCAGTCCTGGCATACTCTACCGCCAAGCGCCACCACCCGCCTACTGTCCTGATGGTGCGGCCGGTGGTGCAATTGGCGAGCATGGCGCAGCTGGCGGTGGTGCTGCTGCTACTGCTGGCGCTGATCCAACGACCTACTCGTCCGCCACAACAGCGACGCCCAGCCCGCGTCCACAACGACGTGAACATATTGGCAGTGCGGCTGTAGCGGGCACTTTACATCATCCCATTGTGGGCACACATCTGCATCCTAGCGCTGCGCAAGCGGCATCGCTTGCAGCCGCAGCGGCACAACGCGGCGCAGAACTGAGTGGCGGCGCTGGCAATGCCAGCCAATACTACCATCACGCCACAGCGCCCAGTCAAACGTATACAATGCGGCCGCCCTCCGAACACATTTACTCCAGCATCGACTCGGACTACTCGACGCTGGACAATGAGAATGTGCTCATGATGCCGCCACCGTCACCCACACCTAATGGCGGCGTGGTGGATGTGCAGAGCTTGCAGCGATTTCAACAACAGCAGCAGCAGCGGCATCATGCGCATCAACAACAACAGCAGCAACAGCTAATGTCACAAACATGGCGACCGCAACAGCAGCAGCAACAACAAAATCAAAAGCATCAGCAGCAGCGCAGGGAGTCTGAGTTGACGAATGGGGCTGTGGTGACGTCAGCGGCAACGGCGAGCGGTCAACAGCAGGGGCCACATGTGCAAGCGTATCTGGTGTAGATGTAGGTGCATATGCATGTAGTTGTAGAGGATATACCTAACTAGTGCGATAAATAAAAAAATACGACGCACAGCACAAAGCGAAATATAAAAAAAGAAAATAAAGATTTAGTTATTATTTAAGTAGGAACGAAGCAGAAAATTTTGGGACTGGTTCCTGGCACTGAAACTAACACAACAAGAGTGTAAATGTATTTTATATAACATGCTTAAAAGTCGATCTGTATGCTTTAGTGCAAGTTCAGAAATAGAACAAGCATTTTTTATAAACTAAAAATACAAAATTTTTTTGTCGGTGTAAAAGTAATATTAACTAAAATGCAAATTTATAATAACTTATTTTTTTCGTTAACCTAAAAGCGTCAAGTGTCGATATTTGCTGCGTAGCTATTAAAATTTTAAATTTATTTATGCAAAACGCGTATATAAAATTCAAAAAATATTTAAATTTTTGCTAAAAAATAATTGTTTCATTTGAAGAAAAAATGCTCAGTTGCCTAAGCTGAACAGCTGTGCTAAAAAGTAACTCATTTAAAAATTATTAAAAAAAGTATAAAATTGTAAAAAAATACAAACGCAACTAACTCCACTAAGACAAACTACTTGCAAACCCAGTGAACAAAAAAAAAAAACCAAACAGAATAAAGCATAGTTCAACTTTGAATTAAAAAATTTAGTTCATGAGTTTGAGCAAAAAATTAAATTAAATTAAATGCAAAAAAGTGATTTTGTTGATGCAAACGACGTTAATGACGATGATGATAAACGTATGTAATAATGTAGTTATGTATGTAAACTCGATTTTCCTCATATATATATTCTCATATATAGTACAGTATACATATACATAGCAATTCTCATAAGTGTAAATAGCAAAAAAAAAATAAAAAATAAAATAACTACTACATAATAAGCTTAAGCCCTAAGTAAATAATGTATATTTTGAAATCCGTGTACCTACATGGCTATAAATATTTAGTTAGGCTAACCGCGTGAAAGAGCCAACAGGCTATAGTGATGGCGAGCGGAAATTGAGTGCAAAGGCAGAGGCAGAAAAAAAGGAAGAGTGTAGTAACTAGAAGCGTTGTTGAGTGCAGCGCATTAACGTCAGAAAACTTTATAATGCAAATTTATTTAATTATTCACAAACTTATAGAACTGCTCACATACACACACACACACACATCCTTTAGGTCAGCCTCTAGTGTACACTTTGCTCGCTCGCTCGCTCGCCAACTCACTCAAATGTTTACGCCAACTTTGTGCAAAGTCCAGAGTGGCCAATGCCTGAGAGCGCGCGGCGTGTAAATATTTAATTTAATTAATACAAAATAAACAACTATTACAACAGTTAAACAAATACACAAAACTACACGCACACTTGCAAATACATATTTATGTACATACATACATGCAGACTTTAAAAACAACAAGCGAAACTGCCAAACTTACTTTGTACGTATTTTAACGTAATTAAACATTAACATTGATGTACAGTTACATACATACATACATACATACATACATATGTACATACACTCGCAATTAAAACTACTCGCAGACTAACACTAATGAGACGTACAGGACATTCATTACTGTTGACAGGGACGAACTGTTTGGTATTTGTTAAACTAATTCATGCTACGACTGCTGTATATTTGTTTGTACTCTTATATATGTATGTACGCGCGCTTGTACGAAAATCGACTGTTTTGTAGCTTAAGCTTTTTCCTTACTTTTTTCTCCAAAAAGTGCATATTTATTTGTTAGTCAATAAGAAACAATTTGAAATTGTGAAGAAATTTGAAATAAAAAATTTGTTATAAAAAAATTAACTTTTCGTAAATTTTTTTTCGTTCAGTTTGATAAGAAGCGCAGTAAGTTCAATTAGAATAGAACAAATTTATTAAAAAATTTAGTAGTATTCCCTAAAGCTTGCGAAATCGTTGAAAACCTCCAAGCTCTCGAAACTTTGGCTGAAATGCTAAATCGCCTAATGGACCCAATTGAAAGAAATCACCTAAATAAAAATTTGATTTTCATATTTTTTTCATAATTTCTATTATTTCTAAACACCGGAAAAGCACTCAAAGGCATATAAAATGTTGGCACAGTGAAATGTATGCATAAGTAACATTTACGAGACCGTATTAATCGAGACCGGTTATTCGGCTAACCGAATGTTCGATTAGCAACTATTTTGCCGGTTGATAGTCCAATAGCAAATGTTCGATTTTAATCGCTGGAAATAGACTAACACTTCACTATCGACAAAATGCTCACCATCGGGTACACTCAAAATCGACTAAGCGAAATTATTCGAAAAGTGACAGTTGCCCGCAATAAAATAATTTTTATTAGTTCAGTTTCTTTTGTCAGCTATTTTTCTGTATTGGTAAGAAGATGGACTCTATTGGCAAACATGCATATTAGTTTTTTTTTTTTTGATACTTCAATATGAAAATAAAATGAAAATTTAAAATTTTATCTTATTTTTTAAATGAACAAACAGTTTTCAATTTAAAATTTTAAGGTTTTTTTTACTGAAATTAATTTAAAGGTAGTTGGGTCACATGATCGCTGCCCATTTTTCTAGGCACGCTATCTAAAGTCGACTATTTTTTAAATTTATCTTTTGCTAATCGATTAACCGATTAGTCGATTAACAAGAGCTGTAATACATACATACTTATTTTCTTAAAAAAAAAGACACTTCAAAAAAAGCAACAGTTTACATGGTTTTTAAGCGATTTGACTCATTAAGGATTATAAGGCTATTTTTTTAAATGTTTAAACTCTCTAAAATTTCAGTAATTTTTCCAAAATAAAACACACACAAGTTTTGAAAATAAACATGCGCTTTAAATTAAGTACCTTTTTAATTCGATGCAATTATGCAAAACAAAGGATATATTTCATTTATCAGCGTACCAAGCTCCAGTACACAATATGAAAAATTCAGTGCTCCAATGATCAATATAGGTGTAACTTTACAAATTTTTTTTTACCGATCAAGAACACCAAAATTAGAAAAATGAACCGTGTTCAGTATTGCCAGAATTTATATTAAAAACCTGAAAATTTCCAGAAAAAATTTTTCTTCGTCCAAAAACTGTAATCTTCAAAAACAAAAAGTTTGAAAAATTTAGGTTTTTAAGTTTTATTTAATATAAATAGCAAAAAAACAATTAATTTCGTATAAAATACCATTAACAATTAACAACTAAACAAAAACAGACCTTATAACTTCAACACTTTAATAACATTTTGTTTTAATGAAATGAGGTTAATAATTTGTTGTAAATTGCTTTGCTAATTTTTTCCTTACTTCAAATTTAATACAATGTAAAGCCTTTTTTAAGAAATCTTAAGATTTTAAAATAGCCAAAATCGCTGGAATTTCTAATTTATATCTTGTTTTTGTTTTATTTATATTCATTTTAAAACACTTTCTTTCCACATCTTGTCTAAAAACTTTAATTTACAGTTAAAACTGTGAATCTGGCAATATTGGTCATATTGATTGGTGATGATAAAACTCCACTAGCCAGATAAGATAAAATTCGCTATAAGACGTAATCTTCTGCAATAACTCGTATAAAAAAACACAAACATAGATACAATCTCGAACTCTAGGTACCTCTTAAGATCCTCTCGCTCGTAACTGACGAAATAAAAATGCTCTCCCACTCAGTAATGTAGCTCCCAATGGCAAAAACTCATAAGGAGGAACAAGCATTTATTTAAAAAAGGCTAAGTGGCAAGCCGACTTTTGTTCACCGCAACCTTTTTTATAAGTCTCTTACATTAAAGTTTGTCGAGATTCCACTTTGTAAGTTTATCTTCCTTACAACTGAAGATTTTACTCTACCCATTTTTATTTAAATGGTCAATATATATCTGTTCAAAGTACAATTTACGAATCATATTCAATTCTCCCACAAAAAGAGCATTATTGGTATATATATTTGTACAGTTTAATTGGTTACTATTGTATGTATGTAGATATTTACTAAAAAAAAACTCAGTTTTTGATTTCCTGTAATCAACCACAAATTCGATTTCATTTCCAAATGAAAAGTCGACTCGCATTCCGTGGTTAACTATTGATTTTCAGTCAAAGTTTAAAATTAAAAGCCAAGCAAAAGTACGGTATTTAGTAACTATTCAATAAAAAAATAAAAAAAAATTAAAAAAACCCTGTTGCTAAATTCGTTGTAGGAAAATAGCCGCAATAAATGAACTTAACTTAGAATCGTAGATTCCGAATCTGTATCCCGTTTTTCTAGATCAGGTTATTTTCCCAACATATTTAAATTTTTATAAAAAAAATAAATTTTAACAGTCGAAAAGTTAAAAAAATTACAGATTTTTTTGTATATATATTTTTTAATTTGTATTAAAACCTGTTTTTTTACAAAAAACTCAAGCTACTAGCGAAGAGAATCGATAGATAAATAAAAGTGTTGAATGGTCAAATGAAAAGGCGTAATATTTTTTTGTATGAAATATGAACAAGAAAGAATGTACTCATACGCCATGTACGAGTAAGTTATTTATTTTTAAAACTTTCTCCTGTTAAAGTTTTAATTTCTTTCATTTACAATTAAAACATAAAATGCAAAAACATCTCGGGGAAAATGAACTGATCTCAAAAAACGGTATACAGATCCGTAATCTACGACCCAAAATTAAGTTTTCGTATCTCGGCGATTATTTGCGTTATTTTAGCGTGTTTTTGATTTTTTTTACTTTCGGTTTAATTAATTCAGTTTTTATCACCACACATTTTTTACTATGCGCTTCAACAGCAGTAGAAAAAAAAAATAAAAAAATAAAATAAATAAATTCAGGTCTCGGTGTAAAATTTGTAAAAACGGGCAGCGAACGCTTGTCAACGCGGTTGAGATGGACAAATTATTATTAGCGGTTAAGTACTCCCTGTCATTATTTCTTTCACTCCACATTTCTTGCTTAACTGCGCTTTAGTCTGTTTTTAACACAATATTTAGTGCAGCCAGCTGCGGACGTTCTAGTTTTTTGCTGTTATATTAACAGCAGTGTAGATTACTGAATAGATCAAGTATCGAACGCCACAAAACTAATTAATATTTATTTGCATTTGCTGCAGTGTTATTATTTTTTAAATCGTAAATTTTTATATGACTTCGTAAAAATTATTATTGCGTATTTGTATCCAATATTTAAATGAAAGTGATTTTTTCGCAATTCAATTATTTCATAATATTTTTTTTTAAATTTATTTTTTTTTAATTTTTGGCGGTCCTATAAATTATAGTTGCGATGAAAAATTGGTTAAATAAATAATTGGGTATTGATACTGGGGATCTTCTGCAGATAAACAAAGCTTTCCGATATAAAAATATTGATTTTTAAGAATTCTATTCCATTTCTACGAAAAGTTGTTTTTTCCCCATATAAAAATACATGGAAAGCTTTGGGTGCTTTGAGCGACCTCTAAATATTTTTTCAATAAAAAAAAACAGGGGTTTATTTTTTCGGTATAGAACAATCCTAGGGGGTGAGAGCATTACAATTCCGACTTTACTTTTTCACATGCCTTTTTGGACCACCCTAATGTACATATATCTATATATAAGACTGCCTCATGACTCACACAAATAAAGACTGTTTTTTTCTCTAATACTTCCCTTTTCTCTAATACTTCATGAATTCTGGGTCATTGGCCAATTTATTCATTTTGGAAATAGATTTCGTCAGAAAATTTATGGCGTTTTCTTTTTTACAAAAAATGTTGCCGTTTCATTGCCCTTCAGATAGAGTGAAGCTGGCACTAAACTTCTTATGCTGATCCCGATCTGTTCCTCCAGGATTAATAACAAGTCCGCAGCTAGCAGAATAATTTGTATCTATATTTATGTACACCCTCGCATGAGTACATATTTACGAGGTGTCTCAAAAATTGCCTCAAATGATGAGTGGCGTTAGCGCCAACGAAATTTGAAAAGAAGATAGTACGGCTCAGTGCCCGTAAATTCACACTCTTCATATTATTTATTGGGAAAT